AATATTGAGACATTACAATGCATCATTTATTTTAACTAAAAATCAGAATCGGGAACATTCTGAGCACAGTGCTAGAGGAGGTGTTCCCAAATTGGGTTGTTCCCTGTCTTGCACCCATAGCCTCTGGGATGTGCTGCAGCCCCTCCATGACCCTAAAAAGGATAAAATGGGGGGGGGGGGGGCTTACTGGAGGGAGGGAGCACCCTCTGTCTTACTGTAAGTAGAAGCATTGATCATTTTCATAGTTAACAGGGTCATGTGCTTTGAGTGCTGTTTTATAGGCTGGAAAAATACTGGAGATTTTCTGAGTAAATGCTACACTCTGTTCAGTCCATAGTGTATGAAGGATAGATGCTTTCTTTTGGTTGGCATGGATGTGTCAGAGTAAAGGGTGATGGGAATTACTCACCTAAAGAGGGCCCTGTCAGCGATGAGCACTGGGGCTTCCTATGCTGAGCCGCAGAGCTGTTCACACAACTTCCTCATCGATCTGTTTGGGAAACCCCAAAATCACCTGTCATCAGTGTCATCAGGTGCAGTGACACCTGAGGGGAGAGGGGCAGTGCACATTGGGGGCCCCTCAGCACTCAGAGTGCGTGTCTCTCCGATTTAAGCCCCCGACCACGAGGGCTCCTGCTGTGCTAATGATCCCTGGGAGTGGGTGTCATGGATCCCCTCCGCAGGCTCACAGGCCGCTATAAACCCCCCAGCATACGATCTGCCAAGGACTGTTTAGCATATCAGTCACAGACTGCCTGCGGTCATTATTTCAGGAACAGTAGGAAATGAGTATCCGGAGTCGTGGGTAACTATGATGTGCACACATTCGTATCACGAAGGGAAGTGATGTCACGGAGGGCTGGTGTGTGAGGAGGGATGGGGGCAAAGCCCAGATGCCGCTGGCTGGGAATTCCCAGTGCTGGGCTTTAAGGCCGTCGGTGTGGGTGACTGTCTCAGAACGGCCCAAGAGCACGAGTGTTACCCAGCGGCACGTACAGACGCCCTCACCATGAAGCTGAAGAAGGTGCAGCGAGTGTACAGAGAGATGCTGAAGAGCTGTCAGCAGGTGGGTGTCTGCCCCCCCCCAGAGGGGCTCAGCGTTAGCACTGGCGGAGCCGGGGGCCAGCCAGCGGCTGCGACTCGACCTTCTGGATCATTCTGACGTCGTCTGTAATGAACCTGAAAATAGCTTTGAGTACGTCTGAGTAGGGATTCAGCTCCATTCTAGCATGCTGAACATTAGTGTTTGCTGACATTTATATATCCAACATAAATATATTCAAATATATTTACCTTTTAAATTGGTGACATTTTTGGTAGAATATTTATTTATTTATTTGAATAGTTGACTAAATTGGGATAGGAAAGTATCCCGTTACACACCAGGGCAGAGGTGGTATATCAGCGCTGTGTGCTGAAGGTAGATAAGTTTGGTAAGTGAGGAGTACCTGCCTGATTGGGCTGGACATGTGCTCATGAGGTCATACTGTGTTCCTGTACTGTATGTGCTTCTCTGTCATGTTTTATTCTTGTTTGGCATGTTCAGGGTGGTATTTCCTGGCAGTCTGACAGCCATCATGAAACTAATTCTCTACTACTCATATTTTGCTCAGCTGTTACTGGGAAGAGGGGAACCATTTTCCCAGCAGATGTTATCGCCACTCTTCCTGTTTCCTGAAGCCTCTACTAAAGACCCACATGTGCAGATAGTGATTTGGCTAGCTACTTACAGGGCTTGTGTGTGTGTCATTAAACTGACTTGAGTCTGTTTCTTTCCTTGGGGTGACCAGAATAGTGCGGTACGTGGGTGACGACCTTCCTGCGCTGCTGTTCGTCATGTTTGGCATGGCTCTTTATGTCAGAATCAGCCTGTAAACAGATGCTATTTTTGCTTTCAGTTGGGAAGCATCTGTGTGTTTATGTGAAAACCAGTGTCCTTCTTAACCTCTCCATAAGAATCACCACATGAACTCTTTTGAAAAGTCTTTAGACACATAAAGCTTTGTAAAACAGTATCTGTAACGTCCAACATAGGCTAGATGGTTGCCTCACATCGTTCACGAGTTTTACTCACTCTAAATCACTTGCTGCAGTGGGCATGTTCATCAGAAAGTATGAGGTCCGCAGATCATGACTCTCAATAATCCTCAAAGATCGTCGCACCCCTTATCTACACTAGCTGGCCAGGATGTGTGCTCATGCTACCTAGTAGCATGAGCACAGCGGGTGCCCTGGTTCTTGCCAGCAGCCCTGTTTTTTTTCTTAACCAAAAATCCTCTTTCAGCTGGACCAGCTGGTGATCAGCATAGCCAAGGAGAAGCTTGACATGGAGCTGAAACATTCCACCATTCAGCAGAAGGTACTGTCCTGCCGCTGGCCGGGCATCACACTGCCGTTATACTGCAGAAGGAGCAGGGCTGCGGGGGCTGCGGGGGAGACGCCGGCTTAGCCTTGGGCCTAAAAATAGCCCCCGTTGGAGTGACTCTTCTGCGCCTTGCTGCTCATTAATCACGGACTGGGCACTAGAATAACACAGACACAGCCCAGCTCTGCTTCCTCTCATGCTCTGCAGTACTTTCCAGAAAGCTTGATGACGTGCCTGGGCTTTATGTGGCTGGTGGGCCATGTGACCTTTGCCTCAGTATCATCTGGAGATCACCTGACCTCCTTTCAAAGCCCACCCAATAACCACAGATCGAATTATCAGTCTTAAGCATGGATTAAGTGAAAGCTGCAGTCTGTAGTATGACACTGCTGTTAATGTACTGCATGGAAGCACAGAGTACAGCTTTGGGGTGTTGAATGATTTTGATATCAGATGCAGGAATTGGCTTGTGGAGTTTCTCCTTCAGATGTAGAGAAAAGGAGTAATGAGCTATTTACCCTGCTTTACTCTCACCTACGAGTCCGACTTTGCCTGTAGTAACTGATACACAGAGCCAGAGAGGTCCATTTAAAGCGGGAGGGTCAAGTTGCGGACTTGACCTTCCAGTGACCTCCAGCGAAAGCAAGCCTGTTCCAGTCAGACATGACGAGGTGAAGGAAGTCCGGCTGAAACCCGTGAGCTTTACCCAACGCTTAAGGGAGAGGGATGTCCCATGGGGGCAGCGCTGAGTTAGGACCTGGGCACAGATTGGCCGATTGCATGCTGCCTGCTCCTCCTCATTGGCTGACTGGCCCCCGCTGCCCTTCACCACACATGCAGTCTCTCTCCTGCCCTCCCCTTCCTGTAAGATGCTATTCTGGTGTTGTTCTCCAGCCCCCCCCCCCCACCTTCTGTCTCTCTTTCCCCATATCTGCAGTCTTTAATGTGATCTTCCTTCTCTCCTCTCCACTTTTGCCAGGCTGCTCTGCAGGTAAGACTTTCCTTCTCTCCTTTTATCTCCTCTCTTTCTCCCTCTCTCTCGATTTCTGCTCCCTGGTCGGGCTTGGCAGTGGCATGGGGGGGACGATGGTGTTCCTGTTCTTCTCCTCACGCTTGTAATATGATGCGCCACACTCGTCCTTATATCCTGTGCACTGTGAGAGGCCCACTGTACATAGAGGGCTGTATTAAAAGCCTGCTGCCTATGTTTTGAGTTATAACTGGGCCCTGCACTGCTGGTCATGCCCTGGTCATTCATCTGCTATTTGACGAGTTAAACCAGTTAATGTATTGTGTGTTTTACTGATTTAGCTTTAACTGGGTTCCTGTTTAAATAGTCAGTGTATTAAGGCAGGTTTAGCTTAAAATAAGACAAGTTGGCTTACCTGTGATTTTAATGAAAATTAGTGGAACTTAGTGCTGTGTAAATAGAGCAGAAATAATTTCTTTATTGAGTAAACTGGATCATTTGGGTGACGCTGCAGGGATGTGTGCACTGTAGAGGAAGGCAGGAGCGGTTACTGGTCACCAAGCAGTGAAGGTGCCCAGCTGGTAGCAAGCAGCCATTGAGGCAGCCGACCGCTGTCAGGCACCTTCAGTGGTGACCTTCACACGTCTTCAGTCGGCTGCAACAGAGTGCCTCAGGGGTTCGGCCGGCACGTCCACGCCGCGCTCAGGGGTTCGGCCGGCACGTCCACGCCGCGCTCAGGGGTTCGGCCGGCACGTCCACGCCGCGCTAAGGGTTCGGCCTGCACATGCTCCCTGTTCTTCAGGGTTCGGCTAGAACGCCCATGCCATTTTTATTGCTGTGTGGGGTGGCTTGATCAGTAGGGAGAGGTTGCAGGTGGCACGTTGAGGGCATGCACTCGTCCGTGTTTTGGCCCTATCTGTGGTGTGATCTGTTAGTTAGAAGTTAGTCACACTCTTCTTGGAGATGACTGGCACCTACTGCTTCTATGTGTGGAGGTCAACTCTTATATGTAGCTTTTGTTACACATTTGAATCCATCCTGACCACAATCTCTCTGGCGCCCAGGACTTTTCGAATGACGACACCAAACTGGAGTACAATGTGGATGCAGACAATGGAATTGCCATGGAGGGCTACCTCTTCAAGAGGGCCAGCAACGCGTTCAAAACCTGGAACAGGTAGGAGGACACTGCAGTCCGCCCTGGGCCATCACACTCTATCCCATTTCTGTCCCGGAGAGAGGCATGTCACATGGACTACCGCTCAGGTCTTACTGCATGCCTCTGGTAGACCTCCTCCTAATGTCCTCCAAGCAGCACTTAATTAATGGTGCCGAATGGTGGCTGAGTCACAATGGTTGTGTGTCCAGCTTGGTGGCCAGACCACAGCAGTGATGGGCCACATCAGTAAAGCTCCGCTCTGTTGCTGTTGACAGCCCAACATGTTCCCTTAAATCAACAAGGAGCTGTAATCATGTATCATTATGTGTTGGATTATAAGCTTGCAGCTGTAGCTTTTTGTCACATGTTCTCCATGTTTGCATGGGTTTCCTTTAGGTACATTGCAAAGATATACACTTTAGCATTTGTCTGCATGCGTGTGGGCGTGTGTGTGGTTGGTGATGTATATACTGTGGGTGAAATAAAACATTTTTTTCAGTACAACCCCAATTCCAATGAAGTTGGGACATTGTGCAAATTAATAAAAACAGAATACAATGATATGGAAATCTCATAAACCCATATTTTATTCATAACAAAACATAGAAAACACATCAAATGTTTAATCTGAGAAAATGTATCATTTTAAGGAAAAGAAAGTAATTTTGAATGTCATGGCAGCAACACGTCTCAAAAAAGTTGGGACAAGGCCATGTTTACCACTGGGTGGCATCCCCTCTTCTTTTAACAACAGTCTGTAAATGTCTGGGGACTGAGGAGATCAGTTGCTCGAGTTTTGGGAGAGGAATGTTGTCCCATTCTTGTCAGATACAGGATTCTAGTTGCTGAACTGTCCTAGGTCTTCTGTGTCATAATTTTCGTTTTATGATGCGGCAAATGTTCTCAATGAGTGAAAGATCTGGACCACTGGCAGACCCTTCTTCTATGAGTCCTTTATGTTGTAATTGATGCAGTGTGTGGTTTGGCATTGTCACGTTGGAAAATGGAAGTTCTTCCCTGAAAGGGATGTCGTCTGGATGGCAGCATATGTTTCTCTAGAACCTGGATATACCTTTCAGCATTGATGGTTCCTTTCCAGATATGCAAGCTGCCATATGTACTAATGCATCCCCATACATCAGAGATGCTGGCTTTTGAACTGAACGCCCATAACACGCTGGGTGGTCCTTCTCCTTTTTAGTCTGGATGATACGACATCCCTTTCCAAAAAGAATTTCAAATTTAGATTCACAGAACGGTTTTCCACTTAGCCACAGTCCATTTTAAATGAGCTTTGGCCCAGAGAAGACGTCAGCGCTTCTGGATCATGTTCAAATACAGCTTCTTCTTTGAATGATAGAGTTTTAACTGGCATCTTTGGATGGCACGGCAAATTGTGTTCACTGATAAAGTTTTCTGGAAATATTCCTGAGCCCATTTAGTGATTTCCATTGCAGAATCATGCCTATTTGTGAGGCAGTGTTGCCTAAGGTCCCAAAGATCATGGGTATCCAGAATACTTGTCCCTGACACACAGAGATTTCTCCAGATTCTCTGAATCTTTTGATTATATTATATACTGTAGATGATGATATTTTCGACCTCTTTGCAATTTTACACCAAGGAACTTTTTTCCTGAAATTGCTCCACTGTTTGTCGATGCAGTATTAGGGGGATTGGTGATCCTCTGTCCATCTTTACTTCTGAAAAACACTGCAACTCTAAGATGCTCTTTTTATACCCAGTCATGTTACTGACCTGTTGCCAATTGACCTAATTATTTGTGAATTGTTCGTTCCTCCAGCTTTTGGGTTTTTGTACCACTAACTTTTCCAGCCTCCTATTGCCCCCGTCCCAACTTTTTTGAGACTTGTTGCTGTCATGAAATTCAAAATGAGCCAATATTTTTCACTAAATAGCAAAATGACACAGGAAAACAGTATTGAACACACTAAGAAAAAGCAGTACAGCAAGGCAAGGATAGGCAAGGAGCATGCACTGAATACAGTGTGTTGCTGCACCCACCACATGACAAACCACCTCACAGCTCTCCCAAGACCTTCACAACCTGATTGTTGCAGAACATATCAATGGAACTGGTTACAGACGTATTTCAAAACTTCCAGTAAGCACCATTATCAATCATTATCCGCAAGTGGAAGGAACATCACTCCACCATCAACCAACTACACACAGGAGCTCCTCACAAGATTTCTGACTAGGGAGTCATAAGGATAGTCAGAAGAGTAGCCCAAGAGCCAAGGGCCACTCAGAAAGAGCTCCAGAAAGACTTGGAGGCAGCATGTACAACTGTTACAGAGAAAACAAAAGGGCAGTGCACTTCACTGGCAAGGCCTGGAAGCGTGCTCACCCTGCAAAACTCTATTGCTGAAGAAAAAGCAAGTTGAAGCTCATTTAAAGCTTGCTGCACAACATTTGGACAAGCCAAAGAAATCCTGGACCAAAATTGAACTTTTTGGCAGACACTGCATACCATGTTTGGAGGAGAAATGGCACTGCACCTAACCCGAAAAACACCTGAAACTGTACATCACCCGAAAAAACATTATCAACAGTTTGGGGGTGGAAGCATCATAGTGTGTGAGGCTGGTTCACATCTCATGATACTGGCAGACATTATATAATTGAAGGAACGATGAATGGGGCCATGTATCGAGAGACTCTTGAAATGAATCTGCTGCCGTTGACCAGGATGATGAGGATGAGACATGGGTGGACATTCCAGCAGGATGATCCAAAACATGCAGCAAAGGAAACACTCAATTAGTTTCAGAGAAAGAAAATCAAGTTCTTAGAATAGTCCAATCAGTCACCTCACTTACATCCAGTTGAATATCCGGAAGGAACTAAAGATCAGGATAAAGAAGAGCACCCCACCACCGAATCTTCAAGATTTAAAGAATCTGTTTAGAAGAATGGGTCAAAATCACACCTAAGCACCGCAGGCCATTATACAGGAAGCGTCTTCATGCTGTCATTACAAACAAATTACACATAACTTTATTTATGGACTTTAATGCTGTGAGTTCTTCATATTTATGAATTTCTTGAGTTAATACCAATGTCTGCTGGAAATTTCACAAGAATAGCCTCATATATTTGCTGAAAAAAATGTTGACTATTCAGTCCACTGTATTACATGTGATAAAAACCTGTTTTTTGTTTTTTTTTTGTTTTTTTTTTACTTTATGCAGATATTTTTTCAGTCCACAAACGGAGAAACTCAACTTCATAAAAATCTGTGGCTGCAATCAAAAAACTAAATATGCCAAAAGTCTTATATTTTCTTTGGTTACTTATGGTTATGGTTAGGGCTGGGTAGGAGTTAAGGTTATCATGTTGAGGTTAGAGTTTTCCCCATAGAAATCAATGGAGAGTCCCCACAAACATACAATTAGAAATCTATGGAGAGTCCCCACAAAGATACAATTACAAATCTGTGTGTGTGCGTGCGTGCGCGCGCGCATTGAAATGAATGAGCGGTCCCCATAAGGATATGTTTACCCTACATGCGCGTGCGTGTGTGTGCGTGCGTGCGCGCGCGCATTGAAATGAATGAGCGGTCCCCATAAGGATATGTTTACCCTACATGCGCGTGCGTGTGTGTGCGTGCGTGCGCGCGCGCATTGAAATGAATGAGCGG